TTAAAGATTTAATTTTTTTCCTTTTTCTCCCCAAACCACCCCCAGTACATAGTTCTGCATTTCTAGTTGTGGGTCCTTCTAGTTGTGGCATGTGGGATGCTGCCTCAGTGTGGCCCGACGAGTGGTGCTATGTCCACGCCCAGGATTCGAATTGGCAAAACCCTGGGCCGCCGAAGCAGAGTGCACAAACTTAACCACTTGGCCAGGGGCCAGCCCCTCGTGTCATCTTTTAAAAACACTGAATCAGGATCCAAATGAGGTTTACATATCAGGATTGGATGATATGTCTCTTAAATCTCTTTTAATCTATAGATGTGTGTGTTTGTTTTGTTGTAATTTATTCGCTGAAGAAACAGAGTTACTTACGTCAGCCTGAAACAAATTCTGCTTATTGAAGAAATAGTTATTTACCATTTCCCCGTGTCTGGATTGGATTTTGCTAATTGCATCCTAATGGTGATTTAATATATTCCTGTGTCCCTAGTAGTTCTTGCAAAATTGTGGTTGGACACAGCGGTTTGACCAGATCAGGCTCATTTTAGGGGAGGAAGACCATTGGTGTTGTGTTCTTCAGTCAGAAGGCTCATGTCTTGTAACTTTTTGTGATCTTAGCAGCTGCTGGTATCAATGCTGACGGATCTTTAGGGATTACAAAATGGTTATAATCTCATTATCTAACTCTATCATTCCTTCTTCATATAATTAGTTGTAATACTTCTATAAAGAGAAACTTCTCTTTATCTAGTATTTGATTACTCAGCAGTAGCATTTTTATAGGAAAAGGCGATAAATGTATAGTTTCTGGATAAATGCATAGTTTCTTCCCCTTTATTTACAAGTTTTCAAAATGAGTTAGTTAACTAGCATTCTTTACTGATAACTGATTAGTTTTGCTCTAAGTATCATTATAAACTCATGAGCTAAACACACTTGATATATTTCAACCCACCACAATTATTATTCTTAGTAATACTCAAATAGTCCTATCTTTGCAGCCGGCCCCATGGCCAAGTGGTTAAGTTTGTGCGCTCCGCTGCGGCAGCCCAGTGTTTCACCGGTTCAACTCCTGGGCGTGGACATGGCACCACTCAAGCCATGCTGAGGCGGCATCCCACATGCCACAACTACAAGGACCCACAACTAAGAATATACAACTATGTACCAGGAGGCTTTGGGGAGAAAAAGGAAAAAATAAAATCTTAAAAAAAAAGTCCTACATTTGCCCAGCGGTAGCTTTTTCATGCTTGGCTCCTTTGCAGGAAAGAGTTAACTCAGCAAGCCTGGGTGTTCAAACCTTGCAGATTCCTAACAAGGGCCTGTTTTCCCGGCCACTGGCTAGTGTATCAGTTTCCCAGGACTGCCATAACAAAGTAGCACAAAGTGCATGGCTTAAAACAACAGAAATTTATCATCTCACAGTTCAGGTGGAGGCTAGAATTCTGAAACCAAGAGGTCAGCAGGGCCATACTTTCTCTGAAACCTGGGGAGAATCCTTCCTTGCCTTCTCTAGTCTGGAGTTGCCAACAATCCTTGACTTGTAGATGCATCACTCCAATCTCTGCCTCTGTTGTCACAGGGCTATCTTCTTACTGTGTCTCTTCTTCTCTTCTTATGAGAACACCAGCCATAATGGAGTAAAGACTCCAGTATGACTTCATCTTAACTAATTACAATTGCAATCACCCTATTTCCAAGTAAGATCACATTCTGAAATACTGGGGGTTAGGACTGCAACATAACTTTTTGGGGGACACAATTCAACCCCTAACAGGTGGCTCCTGGGAACTGAACTCCTGAAATGTTTTGGTAAAAGTGTTTTGTATGCTTGGGGCCTTGAATCACATGTAGCAGTTTGTCTAGTTAGTTTGTGCAAACAGTGGGATTACGGTAAACATCTGCTTTCCTTTTAGAGGTCTAAACCTTCAGCAACTGTGGCCTGCATGACTCACTCCCAGTAAAAACCTGGACATCCAGGCTCAAGTGATCTTCCCTATAGACAACATTTTACACATGTTGTCATAACTCTTTACTGGAGGGATTACGTGCATCCTGTTCAACTCCCTGGGAGAGGACTTTTGCAAGTTTATACCCAGTTTCCTTCAGACTGCATCCCATATGCCTTTTGCTTTGCTGATTTGTATCACTTCATTATAACAAACTATAACTGCGACTATAATGACTTATGAGTCATTCCAACAAATCATGAAATCTGGGGGTGGTCTGGGGCACACCCAACACAGCTCCTAAGTTCGTCTGACATAAACCTTGTAAATGATGATAGCCTCCCAGCTGCCTACTAGAACAAGAAGTCCAGGTTCCTCTTGTACATTTCCTGCCCTACACCCAAGATCAAATATTTCTCCAAGGAACCCTGGTTCCTTTCAGTGGGAAATAATATTTGGAGAATGTATTCTGGATGCTAAAGAATGGGCATGCTTTAAATACAACATATTCCAGAAAAACATGCTGAATTTTAGAATCTATCGTTCAAGTACCAAATAAATGTTTAAACTAGTTAGTATTCAAAGAGTCAAGGAAGGCAGTAGCGTCTCGGTTTGGTGGCATTTTAACCTCTAAAAAATTTCTCTTCCTTACCTCGTTAATGACAGAGTTCAGGAAAAGCTCTTCCTGAAGGCAAAAAATATTTGAGTTGATAATTTTTGTTTTTAAAGATTGGCACCTGAGCTAACAACTGTTGCCAATCTTTTTATTTTTCCTGATTTTTCTCCCCAAATCCCCCCAGCACATAGTTGTATATTTTAGTTGTGGGTCCTTCTAGTTGTGGCATGTGGGATGCTGCCTCAATGTGGCCTGACGAGCGGTGCCATGTCCATGCCCAGGATCTGAACCAGCGAAATCCTGAGCCACCAAAGCGCAGCACGTGAACTTAACCACTCGGCCACGGGGCCAGCCCCAAGTTAATCATTTTTAACTATAATGCAGAACTGCAACCAATAAAAAGAGAAAGCAGGAAACTAGACAGAGGGACATGGAGCAGGGGCAGGAATCTAAGTGCCTAAATATCTCTTCCTTTTCCCTTATTGTGACCATTTTTACTTTTTTAATAGCACTAGAAAAGTTCTGAAGTATTGTTTCTAATTTTAAATACAATTAAATGTACATAAAGGAGCTTATCTTTAAAATTTAGATTTACAAATTAAAAAAATAGCTAGCCAAATCTGTCAATCTTTTTTTCTTTACAGTATTGTGCTTTTTGGTTTTTAATGAACATCTTTCCAATGCTGAGGTTATAAACATACTCACCTGTATGTTCTTTCTCCTTAAAGATTTTGTATTATTATAGGTATTATTTTATTAGCTAATACTTGTACAGCATTTATTAAATACCAGGCACTTTTTAAGCATTTTACGCAAGTCATCCAATATTTACAACAATACAATACAATTTACAATACAATACAATACAATATTACAACAATAAGGTAGGTACTATTATCATCCCCATTTTATAGATGAAGAAACAAACAGGGACTAATAGGTTAAGTCATTTGCTCAAGGGCACTTGGCTAGTAAGTGGTGAAGCCAGATCTCTGTCAACCTAGACTACAAGAACTTTGAACAACTCCCCAACCCACAGGGTATTACACACGTTCGTTATACTGAGAACATCGTGCTTATTTTACCTGGTCAGTACGATACCTTAGAAAGATACATGCATGCCAGAGGGTGGAGGAATCACACAAAAACTTAGAAGCCTGCCACCTTAATGAAGTCTCTAGAGGGTCTAGCAGTCTGGAGTATGCCAAGACATTCTCCTCAAAATGAAGGACAAACTGCCATTGCTCAGCCTGCCACCACCACTTAGAAAGAAACATGGTGCTTGATGGGTCTCTTTAAACTCTGGAAATAACATAAACCATATTTCAGAGTGCTGCTCTTCCCCATTTCCTGAATAACCCATAAAGCTGCCAGTTTTAAATGGGGCCCAAGACATGAGTAGGCAGTGTAGCACATCAGTGCAGTAGTGGAAGATACTCTGCCATTTGGGCCTTAAGGTCCAGCGAACTCAGTGGTGTGCCAAGTGTCTGTGGTAGATGATAAAGTAGCTGCAAAAAGCTACCAGCAGGCCCTAAAAGGAGAATCACAACACAGACCACGAAGCATAGAGCCCAAGCTGGAGGATTTCTCAGCCTCGGCATTACTGGCATTCTGGTCACTCCTGACATTGTGAGGGGACTGTCCTGGGCATGGGAGGATGATTAGCAGAATCCCTGGCCTCTGCCCACTAGATGCCAGGAGGACTTCCCCAAATTGTGACAAACATAATGTCTTCAAACATTGCCAAATATCCCTGGGGAGCGAAATTGCCCCTGACTGAAAAGCACTGCTCTAGAATAAAGCCATGCCCTCTTCTGCAGATGATTCTAGTTCTGAGAAAGAGCTCCTTGCTTGGCCTCTGGGCTCTGGTAGAGACTGACTATGTGGCACCAAAATGAACATATGACGTAATCTACTCTTAAGAACTGGGTGTTCTGACCCACCAAGCCATAAAGATGAAGGTGCTAGCAGCATTCTTTCATTAAGTGGAAGTGATACGGTGTGTCAGACATCAGCTTTGCCTCTCCTTCAGGGCACACGAGAAGATTATACTTCTCTGCCTTCTTTAAGTCAGATGTGACCTCATGACTTGCTGTGACCAATAAGCAGAAATGATTCCTGCAGAAGTATTTAATTGCCAGTACGCACTCTCCAGCCTGTTCTTCTCTTGCCACTACGCTAACAGAAGCAGAGGTAAATACAGAAATGCAGTGCTGACCCGCCATATGGAGAACAGTTGCCCTGGAGTAACTCAGACTTGCAGCAGATTTTACAGGACAATAAAAAAATCTTTTTGTTAAATTTTAAGCCATTATTTGAAGATTGGTTATCACCACTACATAAGTAGCTAATCTTGACTACAGTGGTTATATATATGATGAGGTTAAAGGAGGCCCTAAAAGCACAAATAAGCCTTAAAAACAAATGGCTCAGACACTTACAGCATGTACTTCTACTGAATGTCAACTCTCCTTTAATCTATGGCCTTGCAGAGTTCCCTACGACCAAAGAAAGAAGAAAGAAAAATTCAGGCCAGGTTTACACATGGTTCCATATGATATGCTGGCATTACCCCTACATAGAAGTGGCCCTCCAGGAGAGAAGAAAAGGGAAATCCTCCCAGTAGGCAGATTTTCAAGCAGTTGTACCAGTCGTTCACCAAGCATAAAAAGAGAGATGACCAGAGGTACAGATCTACGGTTTGGCTAGACAGGCTCTGTCACCAGTACTTGCTCAGGATGCTCATGAACAAAATGGCCCTGTCAGTAGGAATAATAATTATACCCTGGTCTCTACACAGACTTTCCCTCATCAATACTAATCTACAATTCCATTATATGCCAGGCTGTCTCACACCTCCACGCATTTTCTTAAGCTACTCTCCTCCCTGGAATGCCTCTCCTCTACCCTCTAGCCCAGCCACCCTACTCTTCTTTCAAGACTCAGACCAACCAGCCCCCTCATCTATAAAGCCTTTTCTTAGTGTACTACTCTGTATTCATTCAAGGGATCCCCGTCACTCACAAGTTCTCAATGTAGAGTCCACAGACCCCCAGGGATTTGTAGATAAAATTTATAAACTTTGTTGGGAAGAAAATTATACTATTTTTACTAATCTCTAACTAAAATTTATAATTTCATTTGATTATGAACGTAGGCAAAACAACAAAACAAAAAACCACAGTATTTTCTGTCACTTGGTCACGGAGAGATATCACAGGTATTTTCATATCAAATTACAGTTGTTGCAGACATCAAAATATCACTTATGCTCATCACTACTTCATGCCACGTTTCTCTGGTTAAAGAGCTTCTGCCCCATCCTGGATAAGAATGCTGTTTCCAACAACAGTCTCTCTTCTAAAAGGTACACAAAACATTGAGAGTGATTCTTTTAGGACCTCTTTCTCTTGGCTTTAGGGAAGGGAAACAGCCCTCACTCCTTACCTTTAGGAAGCAGAGAACAGCTGACTTCTTTCCATTGACAATGCTCTTCCAAAAGGGTCACCTCTCCCTCTCCATCTTAAGCCTCTTATAAATTGATGGGGTTGGCAGAATCAAAGTGATAACTAGTCCCAACAGCCCACAGCACTTAATACCTTCTGTTCTCAGAAACCTATGTACAGGTTTATTAGTCCTATTTTTTTTTTTTTAAAGATTGGCACCTGAGTTAACACCTGTTGCCAATGTCTTTTTTTTTTCTTCTTCTCCCCAAATCCCCCCAGTACATAGTTGTATATTCTAATTCTGAGTGCCTCTGGTTGTGGTATGTGGGACACTGCCTCAGCATGGCCTGATGAGCAGTGCCATGTCCGTGCCCAGGATCAGAACCGGCAAAACCCTGAGCCACCGAAGTGGAGCACACTAACTTAATCACTCGGCTACAGGGCCGGCACCTATTAGTCCTATTATGAAACCATCACTTCTCTAGGGCAGGGAGTATGTCTCAGTTGTGTTTGTATTTCCACTTCCTAACAGGGCCTGGCACATAGTTAGCACTTAATTCGTGTCTGCTGAATTAAGTGCTTCACAGCAACAAGTGGGCAGTCAGCACAGAAGACAGGTGTGTGAAAGACTACCAGTGCCTATCCAATATAGATCCTTACCTCCACCCTCACTGAACTAGTCTATGTTTAGCTAAAAGCCATTTCTGAATCTTACTTATAGCTAAGTGTGGCCGAATGACTAAGTTCTGGACAATGAGATGAGAGGAAAAAATGTGTAGGGAATTCTAGAAAAGAGTCTTAAAGATGAGTGGTGTGCCCCTTTTGTCCTCTGCCTTTCTTCTTCCTTCCTTCTGTCTAGAACATTGATGTGATGGCTGGATTTCCAGGAACCATTCTGTGATCTTGAGAATGGAATCCACATCCTAAGGATGGCAAAGGAAGAAGACAAGGACAAGACAAGACAACTCTACGGAGTTGCCATATCAGTGCTAGACTGCCTATTTCTGAATTTTTTTTCACAAGACAAAAAAATGAACTACTGTCTTGTTTAAGCCATGGTTATCTCTTATCTCTGTTTCTAGCAGCCAAACACAATTCCTAACTGATAAAGTAGGAAAGAGAAGCCAGCAACAAATCTATGGTCCAGCAAGACCATATGAAAATAAGAGGTTAGGAAAAATGAACATTTTAATGGAAGATGTTAAAACAGGTGTTTAAAATCTGTTCAAATAAATAAACCAGTGACTTTTTCAACCTTCTTGCTTCCTTCAGGTTTTCAGCAAACAGTGCTATAGCACAACAATCAGATAAGGCTGCTTCTCCCACATATTATGTACACTGTTCTACTTCATAAAGATTTTGAACCTGTCCTTCCTGGCTTGCCATTTAATGTCTTTTGTACATGTATTTTTATTTCTACTTTTTAAGTCTCAGCAAAGCTTTGCACAAATTCTTAGAGTGACTGTGTCATTTTTTTGGACTGTTATTCATCCTTACATTAAGAAAACGAAAAATAATCTGATCTCTCTATGGACTACTATTAGAGACTGAATTTTTGTGTCTCTCCAAAAATCATATACTGAAATACTAACCCCTAATGTGATGGGCCTCTGGGAAGTAATTAGGTCATGAGAGTGGAGCTCTCATGAATGCAATTAGTGCCCTTATAAAAGAGACCCCAGAGAGCTCTCTCATCCCCTTTGCCATATGATGCTATAGTGAGAAGACAGCCGTCTCTGAAGCAGGAAGTGGGCCCTCAGCAGACACAGAGTTTGCTGGCACCTTGATCTTGGACTTCCCAATCGCCAGAACTGTGAGAAACAACTGCTTGCTGTTTAAACAACCCAGACACTGGTCCTTTGTTTTAGCAGCCCAATCTGACTGAAACAGAAGTCCTTTTCTATTTCTCCACTCCCTTGAATTTGGGCTAGCTTGCTGAGTTGTTCTGACCAACAGAATATGGTGGAAGGGTCATTAGATATCTAAGTTCCAAAGCCTAAACCTCAAGGAGGCCTTGCAGCTTCCACTTTCACCTTTTTAGAACACTATCCTGAGAATGCCATGCAAGGACGCCACACTAGCTTACTAGGGAATGAGAAGCCACACTGAGAATAACTGAAGCATTTTAACGGACAGCCAGCACCAACTGCAAACATGTGGATGAGGACATCCTGGACCTTCCAACTCAGTCAACTCTCCAGGTAGATTCAGCTGCATAAGAGAGTCAAGTGAAACCAACAGAGGAACTGCTCCACCAACCTACAGAACCATAAAAAATAATAAATCTTTTTGTCCTAAGTCATTAAGTTTTGGGGTAGTGTTTGAGGCAGCAATACCAAACAAACAAACTTTAAAATAACAGTTTCTCGAATGTGAGAAAAATCACTTTAGATTTTCTGTTTTTATCTTTAATTCACCTATTACAGTATCTTGGAAGTCACGCTGACTCCAATGCTTCATTCCACTGTGATTAAAAAAAAGAAATTAATTTATTAAAATATAATGGGCAGCCATTAAAGGATTTTGTGTGAAGTGGGTAATACGTGATAGGCACTTTAGAAAGAGCACTCTGGTTGCACTGTAGAATGGACTGGAGGGCAAGGTGACTAATAAGAAGATTGTTGGAATGGTCCTGGTGAGAGGCCTGGTAAGAGGTTAGAGGCCCAAACCATCACCGCTGCTGCTGCTGCTGCTACTATTACATTATTTATATATTTATGATGCACCAAGTACTGTAATAATAACCTTATTTAATCCTTACAACAACTGTTTTAAAAATTTTTTTATTTTGGAATACTTATAGATTCACAGGAAATTCCCAAACTATGTGCCAGGAGGTCCTAAGTACCCTTTGCCCAGTTTTCCCCAACGGTAACATCTTGCTTAACTATAGTAAAATACCAAGACCAGGAAATTGACACTGGTATAGTCCACAGAGGTTATGCAGATATCACCAGTTTTACAAGCACTCACTTGTGTGTGTGTGTACTTCTATTACAATTTTATAACATACGTAGATTTGTGTAACTACTACCACAATCAAGATATAGAACTGCCCCCTTGTAGTCACCCACTACCCTCTCCCTGATCCCTAACACCTGGCAACCACTAATATGCTCTTCATCTCTATAATTTTGTTGTTTCAAGAATGTTATACACATGGAATCATACAGTATGTAACCTTTTGAGAGTGGCTTTTTTTCACCTGAGAGCCATCCAAGTTGTTGCATGTATCAATAGCTCATTCCTTTTTATTGCTGTATAGCAGTCCATGGTATAAATATGCCACAGCTTGGTTTTTTGTTTTTTTTTTTTTTTTGAGGAAGATTAGCCCTCAGCTAACTACTGCCAATCCTCCTCTTTTTTCTGAGGAAGGCTGGCCCTGAGCTAACATCTGTGCCCATCTTCCTCTGCTTTATATGTGGGATGCCTACCACAGCATGGCATGCCATGCGGTCCCATGTCTGCACCCAGGATCCGAACCAGTGAACCCCAGGCCACCAAGAAGCAGAACGTGCAAACTTAACCACCCACAGCTTGTTTAACTATTCACCTATTGAAGAACGTTTGGGTTCTTCCCAGTCTTGGGCTATTAGGAATAAAGCTGCTGTAAATATTCATGTACAGGTTCTTGTGTGAACATATGTTTCAATTTCTCTGGAATAAATGCCCATGAATGCAATTGCTAGGTTGTAAAATTCTGTTTTAAAGATAAAGAAACTGAGGCTATAAATGGTGGAGCTGGGATTCTAATCTAGATAGCCTGCCTCTAGGTCCTAACTCTTCATACTATTTCTAGTGGTTGTAGAAACTGACAGAAGAAATGAAATTAAAGAAGGTAGAGTCACAACCTAGCATTGCTCAGACAAGGGGTATATGAATAAAGTGTCAAAGAGAACACCAGCTTCCAGCTTCAGCACATCAGATACATGATAAAAGAAAATATGAATTCACTTTTAGACATATTGTATTTGAGGGATCTGCAGGTCATCCTCATCTAGCAGGCAATTAGATTTCTAGAATAAGAGCTAGAAATCAAGAAAAATTTCTGGATTAGAGAAATAGATTTGAGAATCATCACATTTAGACGTAACTGAATAAATAAGATCAGAGGGACAGAGTATGGAATGCGAAGAGATTTGACAACACAATCCTGAAGAACAGAAACATTCATTTCCTCTAGTTTTTTCCCATAAACAATAAACAGTATGTACTGTGACAGACTGCAAATTGATATTAACTTTACATCTTACAAGCACTTCATGTCTACTACACGAGTTTTACAATCATCTTATAAAGTAGAAAGGACAGGAGTATACTCTCCCCTTCTGACTCCCTTTTTCATTTAAAAAGAAAGATCTAAAAAAGGAATACATGCTGATTAAAAAGCCTCAATACTACTCTGTATGTACTATACTGATAGATACATGTCATTATACGTTTATCCAAACCCATATGATATACAACACCAAGACTGAACCCTAATGTAAACTATAGAGTTTGGGTGATACAGATGTGTCAACGTAAGTTCATCAAAAGTAACAAATACACGACTCTGTGGGAAATATTGATATGGGGGAGGCTATGCATGGGGGGGATAGATGATAAATCTCTGTATCTTCCACTCAATTTTGCTGTGAATCTAGAACTGCTCTAAAAATAAAGTCTAGACAAAGAGAAAAAAATGTAAGCCTCAATACAAAAGCATATGTAAAAAGCATAAGTTTCACTTCTCATTCAGCACCCAACTCCCTCCACCCATTTTTCAAAAAATATACAGGAAAATGAATTCAAAGAGATAAACTGACAAATCTTAGTAGCTAACAGAAGTCTACATTAATTAAGAATCAAGCACTATCAAGAGTCAAGGATTATGTCAATTATACCTCAATTTAAAAAAAGTCAAGGATCCATAATGACAAAGGTGATAGATAAATTTGATTCTAACATTTTCTGGAGTTCAGTGTTTTACAATAAAACAAAATTAACTATTTTGTAACCCATGCTTTGCCACTCAACAAAGGTGCCACTTACCATATGACTACCTTTTAGCAGTTATATTTCAAACCTAGAAATAACTATACTTTTATAAATAATCAAAGTCACACCTCTTAATATATTACATAATTGAGATTTTACTCCTTTCTCCAAAATTAAAGTCTAGTCCTTTACTTTTTCTGGTACTTGTCTCCATAGCAGACAGATAACCAAACAGAAAGTTTACACTTCATAAAGATGAACCATGCATTTCTAAATAGGACCCATGTCAAAGTCAACACAATCACAATTCCAAGTTTTAATATGTATTACTGAGTGAATGTTTACACAGACAAATGTACATCTTCATCGTATCACAGCAGTATCACAAAAAGACCTCTTATCAAGAAAACCTTCAATTCTTATTTTCCAATTCTAGAACTAGATAGCTTTCAGAGACATTAAGAGAACAAGATATGAGTAAATATCTGTGCAAAGCGGGTCTGAATCATGAAAGAAATTAGCCTGGTTTATGGAAAGCAGTTAAGTGCCAAGAAAAAAACTAATCCAAATCAAAACATTCAGCACAATTTTTATTTCTGGCAACTTCAGCTGCTGGCTAGAAAAATCTATCCCAGCTATGACATTAAATGATGAAAATTTATTGAGCTATAAAAATATTGGTGGAGTTGGCAGCCCCTTCCCTCAGGCTAAAACTACTGTTACTGGTTCATATCACAAATATGAGAGCCTTTCATTAGATCAATGATTCTAAGGTGGAAGCCAGTGGTGAACTATATCATCTAGGGGATTTTTTTTTTCTTCAAAATCTATCTACTTCCCTTCATATTCCCCCACTACAAAGATTCTGAAGGGAAGTGGAGATGATCTAATGGATATGTATGTGCCTCCGTTTTTAAAAAACTCCTAGATTATTCTGATACATATGTAACTCTCCACTTTCATGGAGAATTTCTGAATTAGGTCCAACTCTATTTTTTAACAGTGTATCAATAGCAGGCAAAAGGAACAGAGCGACAGAGTGACAAGAGCTCGGAGAAGGCTCTGCGGGTAAGTGGCTGTGAGCCACCTTCAGAGCTTTCTGTGCCAGCTCCCTCCAGAATCCATTAAACTACATCTCAGACAATGACAAATGTTCAGTTCATCATCCTGAGAAAAGCACGTAGTCTCAGATAAAAATGTAAAAAGAAGCTATTTTGGACATGAAAAAAACTAAGAAGCCACAGAAAAAGAAAGACAAAAATTCCTCTGTTCTTGCATTAAAAGAACAATAACAAAGTATTATTTTGTGCACCTGATAACTTGTTTGGAGACCTTCTGCCCATATTTTATCATTTTAGTTTTTCGTTATGTAGCACTGTTTTTTCTATTATAAAGCTCAGCCAAGCTGAAAATCTTAATGATTCTAGAACTTAATAAACTACTATAAGATGCCAAAACTGTGTATTAAAAATAATGAAACCAACCTAAACCCATATTGCATGTCAAGATAGCTTAAGAATCTTAAAAAACAAGCTTAAAAAGTCCATTTTAGAGCAATTATACTTCTTTACAGTCATTGTTTCAAATTCCTTATAAATAGCTCCAATACCTAAACGTATCAGACAAGAGGGTTTCTAATGATGTATAAATAATCAGCCAATTACGACTATATTCTAATTTGAACTACTGTTTCTTAAATCACTCGGTAATTTCCTACTCAATGTTTGACTTCATTGCATTCTACAATGACACCTACTGGCCATTCAATATCAGCCATTAGTTCTCTAAGACAGCTCTGGCAGGCTGGTTACATAATAAGAAGAAACACATAAAGACACACATAGAAACAGGCAGACAGACAGAAAGACAGACATACACACACACCACCCTGCATAAAAGCAGAGATTTGTTCACAGGTACTCACACTATAGAACTGCACATAAAATAGAAGCAGAAGTATTCTTTGTGACTGAGATAGTATCATTCTTGCACAAAGATAGAAAGAAAACAACACCAAGTACCAAAATTTTTATCTGCAGCGTTACTGTCTCAGTACTCTAAACATTTCAGAACCAACAAACAGTAATGATCCACCTCTCTTTACCAAATAATATTTAGAGAAAAAAAAGAATTTGTGATTTAGGTTCTGGGATATACTAATATAAACGATCATTAATAGAAAAAAAATCACATCTTAGAAAGTTTTTCTGACATGCAGTATTAAAATAAGCTCAGGAAAATCATACACTTGCTAATACTACATTAGTCCTTATCTTCTAAGCTAAAGACAACATTTCAATCAGCTTACGTTTCAGCAATTTATAACGCTTCTTTTAACTGTTTTCTAGTGGGCTATAACATCAAGTTTTTACTGTAGTTTGTCCTTCCATAACACATACTGAACAGAATTCCTATTTTAATTCTACATTTCACTGTGCAAACAATGAATTATAAAAATTCAGAAAAAAAATGTTGATTTACAATTAGTTATGTCTGTAAATACATTTTACCTCAGTCGGAGAGATTCAAAGAGCATACTTTTTAAACCTAAGAAATAACTCATAACTACTGTCTCAGACTTACAGAGCACATTACTTAAAAGATTACTTTTTTCCCCCCAATTCAGACCACCACGTTATTTCCACAGTTTCTAACATCCACAATAGCTGAGGGGAGGGGGGAATCAACTAATTTTCTAGTCATTTTCCAACTTGCACTTACCTCCTACTATACATTTCTGAGGCTCTCCATTTTCCTGAAGATCAAAAGAAAAAAAACGTATTTGTAATCAGCCTTGACCCTCAAAACAAATAAATTCATGAACTACAAACGTGAACCCGGCCACGCTCATCTCCAACGAACATCTCTCTCAACCCAAGTCCATATTTGGGATGAGCTCTTCGTGACTACTCTACCCTTCACGCTCCTTCGCCTACGGAGCCTGCCGGGCTGGAAACCACTCAAAACAACGAAGAAACTATTCTGACACATCCATTGGTTGCAAGACCTCCTCTTCCAGGGGGGACAACCCAGTTGTTTGGGTAAATAACAGCAGAGGATTACATAATGGCTAGCTATAGAGACTTTCAAGGATCCTACCGCCCGTAGATATCTTTCCTCTCCGCTGCCCCTTCTCGCCCCAAGAAAAGGCCCTAAGGAGCAAGCCCCAGCATTTCTCTCAGGTGCCTGCAATGCCGCGCGTCCTTTTCTCTCTCGGGGCTCCGTCCAAGGAATTCCTCCAGCCCTCACGGGGTCGTCTTGCTCGCCGGTCTCTCCTCTCTCCGCCGGCGCCACCGCAGCCCCCAGGCCCCCAGGGCTCAGCCTCCACCCGCCCCAGCTGCCTCCTCATCACGACCCTCCGAAGCTGCTACCTGATCGACGAGAGGTTCCGGAACCACAGACACCCCGGCTACCGCCTTCGCAGCCCACCCTCGTCAGAGCCCGTCTAGAGCTCCTGCAGCAGGGAAAGAAGACAGTCCCTCCTGACCTAGCACTCCGCGTCCCCCCAAGACAGCACCGCCGCCTACCTGTCACCCCGCTGCCTCCGGCTTCTTACCGCCACCACCTCCCGCAGCAGCCTGCCAACTGCAGCGCAACAACCCGCCCTTCCATTGGGTGAGTCCACGCTCCAACAACAGCCTCGCCTATTGGCTGCAGCCCGTCGGCGACCCGCCCCTCTGTGCAGGGCCTAAAGATTCCGGTGTCCGAGCAAGGATCACATCGCCGCTTCCCCGTCCTTCTGTCCGCCACAACTTCTCTTCCCTCAGTCAGACTACGGATGCACAAATGTGCGGAAAAAATGCCGACTTCCAGCCTCCTTCGTGTCATCTCCACGTGGTCCAGGAATCTGTGACCCAGTCCCGGAACGTTAAATGGCTTCTCTGCTTTCCTCCGTAAGGAACTCGAGATGACAGCTTCCGTTTCCGGTTGGCTCCGGCTGCGGGGTTGAATGTTGAGTGTCCTGAGAGGTCAGATTGCTGTCAGGTAAATCAGAAAACTGATGGGAGACCTTGGGGAATAAGAATTAGACTCTATTCTGGGGGGTTGTAGAAAGGGAGAGACTAAATGGAGAAGGATGAAGGAAGGAGCTCGAAGAACTAGCGGGAGAGAACTCTGAAGTTCTGGGGCAGAGAGGGGTGGTTGTAGAAGGATGCAGTGAGAATCCCGGTGGCGGTGAAGGCCAGATGCTTTTTTCCTCCTCCGCCACCCGCAACACCCTCTGCCCCGTGTTTTGGTTTACCTTTGGAGCGAATGAAGGCAGAACAGCCCTCAAATCGGAAGTTGTAAAATAGGGACAATTGTAATGTCTGTCTCACAAGCATGTATAGTTTTAAGTAAGATTTTTCCGGTATGAATGTTAATGACAGTGTTAAAGTGAAAAAAGCAGGATGCAAAATCACATCCATTTTTAGAGCGGTTACTATTTTTAAATTGCATATACGTAGGTGCAGGGACTGGAAAGGACACTAAGTGATAACAGTTCATTTGTCTTTTAGTTTCTAATGTTCTTATTCACAATTTTAAAAATTAGAGGAGGTTGAGATATATACGTCAAAGTTTTCGGTAAACCGTAAAATTACATCTAGTGTAAGTGGCGGTACCCTTTTTATTTCCTTCTTAGAGAAAATATGCCAGCCCTTCTGTACTAGAGCTATCCCCCTTTAGTGAAACTTAGAGGTTCGCTGTAACATGGGGAGGTAGCTTTTGAAATTTCGTGGTTACGTGTTCTTTCTTCCTTGAACTAATTTCCTTGCTGTTCTGTGAACAGCTCAGACACTGAAATAATCGCCCGTTGCTGAGTCCTTGGCACGATTTGTCATTTTATCTAATTTTAGTTTTTATCGTGAAGTATACATAACAGAAGGGTGTATAAAACGTAAGTACATTTTAAAGAATTATAATTAAGCAAACACTTGTGAAACCACCCCTCAGGTTAGGGAATAAAGCATTGTCAATAATAGAACGTGTATTCTCAACAGAGGTGATCACCTTTCAAGGCAGTGAAAATTGGTTCTTGGCGAGGGCGAAAAAACATCCTAGATAATGCAATGGTCTGTGCCCTACAAAGCTCTGTAGTACATAAACCGATACACCTATATCTGTGCTATTAAAATTCCACGGTGGGGGGTGAGGGTGAGAACATGATTGGGGGGAAAAAGGTGTAAAAAAGCTCCTTTGGGGTACAATAATTAAAAATAGATTGAAAAACACTGCCTTAGAGGCTTCCTGTGTGAGTTTCTGTGATTCCATCTCCTCCAAGAGGTAGCCACTATCATGACTTTTGATAAGCGTTCACTTGTTTCACTTGAATTTTTCCTTCAGTGGTGCATTCCTAATAAATGACTTGTTAGTTTTTGGTTTTTGACTTTTTTGAGGAAGAATGGCCCTGAGCTAACTGCTGCCAATCCTCCTCTTTTTTGCTGAGGAAGACTGGCTCTGAACTAACATCTGTGCCCATCTTCCTCTACTTTATACATGGGATGCCTACCACAAGATGGCAGGCCAGGCCATGACCGCACCCGGATTCAAACCGGCGAACCCTGGGCCGCCGAAGTGGAACGTGCGAACTTAACCGGTGCACCACCTGGCCGGCCCCAGACTTGTTAGGTTTTTCAGTTTATGTAAATGGGATCAAAGTGTGTGTTTTTTTCTGACTCACCCCTTGCTCGTTATTTTATTTGTGAGGTTCATTCATACTTTTGCATGTAGTTTTTCATTGTGTGATATTCCGTAGTGTGACTCTCATGATTAATCGATTCTGTGTTGAACATTTGGATTGTTTACAGTTTGGGGCTGGCATAAACAATGTGGCTAAAAAGATTCTTGTGAAATATATCTGATTATACACATGCAAGAGTTTCTCTAGAGCAGTGCTGTCCAATGGAAGTATAATGCAAGCCCCATGTGTAATTTAAACTTCTCTAGTACCATATTAAAAAGGTAAAAAAGAAATATGAAATTAATAATATATTTCATCTAAATTAGTGTACTCAAAATATCATTTCAAGATGTAATCAGTATTAAAAGTTATTAATGAAATACTTTACATTTTCTTCATACTGTCTTCAAAATTGATGTATTTTACTTTTACAGAGTATGTTTGTATCTAAGTTTTCATAAATATAAACACTTGATCTGTGTTTATATTTCATAAAATTTGCAGTTGAAAAAGTAGATTTATGTGCCCAAATTGTTTCAAAAACACTGTAAAACTTTCCAATAACTCATTTGAGAATCTGTTTTGAAATTTAGATTAATTAAAATTAAATAAAAATCGTCACTTCCTCAGTTGCATAAGCCGCATTTCAGGTGCTGGTGGCTATTGTATTGGACAGTGCAGATGCAGAGTATATATACCTAGGTCTGGAATTGCTAGGCCCTAAGGTATTCCAGTGTTCAACTTTTCTAGGTCGTGTCAGTTTTTCAGAATGGTCGTGCCTAGTCACATTCTCACCACCTGGGTATAAAAGTGGAAGGTACATCGCAATGTGTTTTCCCCAGTTCTCAAAATCTTGCAAGGTAGATTTTAACCTCGTATCGTATGAAGAAGCTGAAGTTCACAGAGATTAAATGATTTGCCCAGGATTTTACAGCTGTTATGGTGCATTCAGGGTTTGATGCCAGATCCATATGGCACCAAAGTCTGGACTTAAGTAGAGTTCCAAACTCTTCCTTCAAGTAATCGGGATATCATTGTTTGATTTATGGTTATTCTGCAGTAGGAATAATTTTTTTTAAAAAATGAAAGTTTCCCTAGAAGTAGTGTAGTTCAACTTTTTGTTCTTTTTTGGAAAGTCATTGGGATATTATATTTAGTAAATGCCTATAAAGTGACCCTTTGTGAAATATTTTAATTAAGTACAAGAGAAAACACATTGAATTTATTAAAGGAAATTTGTTTAAGAGAAATGAGTCTATACTTTCATGTTTTCTTTTAGAGATTTGTCTTCCAAATTACTTAATGTTTGGAGCATAGTAATATTGTAACTTTGAGATAGCCTTCATACCATGGTAGTACTTCAGTTTTTATTTTCCAAATCAAACTTTTATCAGAAAATGTTGACCTCTGTTTTGTATTCTCTTCCAAGTTTATTGATACTCAGGTTTAATATTCTGGAACTGACATTTGTCAAAACAAGAGTTTGTCGTACAATCTTTAAACATTTTTGGAATGAAACATTTTAAAAACTTTTTTGGAAAACATAGTTTGAAGAAAACAAGACATTATCATTCTAATTAAACATTCTAAAAGTCTGTTTTAATAATGTATTGTCTCAAAACTCGGACTGATATCTGGAGCCGTAATTTATTTCCTTTATATTATTGAATCCACCAAATAATAATGAAATAATGGATTAAATGTTTCCTTCAAAGTTGTGAATGTTGTAGTTTTAACTTGCGTTTGGTGGGTATTGGTTTTCATTCTCTTTTAAATGTGAAAATGATCAACATAATGTTTTGTGATATCTTAACATGTCTATAAGTATAAATATTAAGTGCTGGTTAATTTATCAGAATTACTCTGTACAATTTTTCCCCCCTATTCTGAGAACTATTGTTTAATGAAATGAACATTTCACACAATGTGTCTTTGGTATACACTTTCTAATAATTATCACTATCTTCTAAAATGCAGTATAAAAATCCTATCTTATTATTGGACCTGTTCATATTTATAAATGCAGACATAATAATAATTATTTGGTATGGTTTTATTTCTGGAGAGCAGTGATTATAGAATTGCTACTGCTAACCTTATACAAACTACAGTATAGGATTGTTAATTGATACCCCCTTAATGCAAAATTCATAGCAATTTAACTGGGGACTGAGCTCAAGCTTATTTTACATTATCTATAAAAATAACACTAGTAAAACTGCTATCTTTATGTACCCATTGAGGGCATATTTTATTTAAGGAAGCAAACATCGATTAAAAAGGGTTCCTAAGGTCTCTGGTGAGCTAGTTCAGAAGTAAGCAAACTACATCCTGCTAACCAAATCCAGCCCATTGCCAGTTTTTGTATCCCTCATGAGCTAAGAATGGTTTTTACAGGTGAATGTTTGCAATCAATTTGATATTAAGGAGCACTAAACTTTGAGCCTCAGTTAAGCAAAATGTTATTCCCAAAAAAGGGACTTCCATTTTTTTTCAGCAGTAGACCTGTATTACAAAAAATTGTATTCGGTTATTATTATATTTTGGATTTTATCAAGAAAATATTTGTGGAAATTTGTTTTCTCTCTTGTTACGTAAGTACCTACATAATATCCTTGATTTTACCTCTTGGCCCACAAAACCTAAAATGTTTACTATCTGGCTCTTTACCAAAAAAGTTCATGTGGTCAGATGTGTTTAAACACAATAATACTGCATTTTAAAAGAATCATCTGGAAAAAGCAGGTAACAAAACAGTTCGTACAACATTTTTGTTATGCATATTTATGCCTTATGAGAGGACTAAAAAGAAGGAAACTATTGCTTAGAAGTTAGGAACGAGGGCTCTGCAACCATTCTGCAAGGTTCAAAACCAACTGTACCATTTATTATTTTTGTTACCTTCAGAAAGTTACCTACCTGCTTGGAGCCTCATTGTTTTCATCTGTAAAGTGGGGATAATAATTGTAATTTAAGTTCAAACAGTTGTTTTAGGAGTAATGGAGTTAATACACATAAAGTGTTTTATCATAGTGCGCCTGGCACATGGGGACAATCAACGTTTGCTATTATGATAATGAAGAAAGGAATCAAGCAGTAAATGGCTGTCTCATAGTGGTAGGGTTACTGATTATTTTTCTTTTTATGTTTTGTAGATGTGTATTTCCTAACTGTGAACATATACTAGTTATGCAAGAAGACACTATTTTATAAAATCTCTTAACTCAGAATTTTCAAGTATTCATATTGGCTCTCTTTTTAAAACATGAACTTTAAATGTTTTGTCTTAAAACAGAGATAGTAAACTTGGATTTTGATATCTACCATCTGCATATTTTTCCTTTATGTTAGTCTTTTCTTAGAGACATGGCCCATGGACATGGACATGAACATGGTCATAGTAAAATGGAACTTCCAGATTATAAACAATGGAAGATAGAAGGGACACCATTAGAAACTGTCCAGGAGAAGCTCGCTGCGCGAGGGTTAAGGGATCCATGGGGCCGGTAAGAATAATTAAATAATTTAGATAGAAGCGAACTTAACCACTCGGCCACGGGGCCGGCCCCTCTAGAAGCTTTTATAGTGTTCTTTCTTACATTTAGGCATATGATCCATGCTGAGGTAATTTTTATGTCATGTGCAGTAAGGATAAAGGTTACTGTTTTTGCATATGGACATCCAGTTGTTCCAGTACCATTTATTATATTAACAGACTATCTGTCCTCCATTGATTTACCTTGATACCTTTGTCAAAAATCAATTGATGATATTTGTGTGGTCTATTTCTGAATTCTACTCTGTTACCCTGATCAGTATGTCTACACTTATGCCAATACTACATTGTCTTCAAATCAGGTAGTATAAGATATCCAACTTTTTTTTTTTTTAAGATTTTATTTTTTTCTTTTTCTCCCCAAAGCCCCCAGTACATAGTTGTATCTTCTTCGTTGTGGGTCCTTCTAGTTGTGGCATGTGGGACGCTGCCTCAGCGTGGTTTGATGAGCAGTGCCATGTCCGTGCCCAGGATTCGAACCAACGAAACACTGGGCCACCTGCAGCAGAGCGCACAAACTTAACCACTCGGCCACGGGGCCAGCCCCAAGATATCTAATTTTTTTTTAAACTGTTTTAGTTATTCTAGGTTACTTGCATTTATGTTTAAATTTTAGAATGAGCTTTTCGGTTTCTACAAGAAGCCTGGTTGGATTTTAGTTGGGATTGCCTCGAATCTGTAGCTCAGTTGAGGATAATTGATGTTTTAACAGTATTGAGTCTTCCGGTCGATGGGTAATTTAGATCCTCTTTAATTTTCTCAGCAGTGTTTCATTGCTTTATGTAGAGGTCTTGTACATACTTTGTTAAATTTATTCTGAATTACTCCATATTTTTTATGTTATTGTAAATAGTAGTTTTAAAGTTTAATTTTCAGTTCTTTCTTACTAATATATAAAAATACAATTGATTTTGTATATTGAATTTGTGTCCCGTTTTCTTGCTAAATTCACTTTTTAGTTCTAGCAGATTTTTTTTTAACAGATTTCTTAGAATTTACTTCATAGATGATCATTTTGTCTACAAAGACAGTTACTTCTTCCTTTTCAATCTATAAACTTTTTCTTTCTTTTTCTTGTATTATTTCACTGGCTAATACTGCTGGTATAATGTTGAATAAAAGTGGTATAAGTGGATATTCTTGCTTTGTCCCTAATTGAGGGAAAGCATTCAGTCTTTTGCCACTAAGTATAATGTTAATTGTAGGGTGGTCATAGATGGCCCTTCGTCAAGTTGAGTTTCTCTTCTATTCCTAGGTTACTATGAGTTACTATTTTTGGTATTGTTATTAATGGATATTGAATTTTGTTAAATGCTGTTTCTGCATCTGAGATGTTCAGATAGTTTTTTTTTAATTGTGTTAATGTGGCAAATTACTTTTATTGATTTTCAAATGTTAAACTAATCTTACGTTCCTGAGGTAAACCCTTTTTCATGATATATTATCCTTTTCATATATTACTGGGTTCAATTTTCTAAAAATTTTGTTAAGAATATTTGCATCTAGGGGCTGGCCCCGTGGCCGAGTGGTTAAGTTCGCACACTCCGCTGCAGGCGGCCCAGTGTTTCGTTGGTTCGAATCCTGGCCGCGGACATGGCACTGCTCATCAAACCACGCTGAGGCAGCGTCCCACATGCCACAACTAGAAGGACCCACAACGAAGAATATACAACTATATACCGGGGGGCTTTGGGGAGAAAAAGGAAAAAAATAAAATCTTTAAAAAATAAAAAGAATATTTGCATCTATGTTCATGAGGGATATTACTCTAGTTTTCTTCTAAAGTCTTTGTCTGGTTTTGATTTCTAAATTAGATTTGATTAGCTCTCATATTTTCTAGTTAATCGGATTTTTAGAGTTAAGTGATTTTTGTTTTGTGACGTGATTTTTTCCGCTCACTTATCCTTTCCTGTGAGAGACGCCTTTTTTCACTAGAGTTCTCGGACTTCTGTTCAGGATGTTCAGAAGAAAGATTGCCAGAGCAGGAAATCAGTCTTCTAAAGTTTAGGCTGCTAGAACAGGGAAAAGCCATAAGCCTCTTGAATAGTAATAATAGTATCAAGTGTTACATACTCTCTAGGCCAAAGTGTATCATACATTACCCTGTTTAATCCTTGTAATAACTCTCTAACATAGATAGTAATCATCATTGAGTAGAAGAGGAAGTATCCCTGACAGGTTAAGTAACCGGCCCAGCCTGAAAGGTTGTGAATCTAATATAAGTGGCAGAGCAAAGGTTAATACCCAAGTCTCTAACTTCCTCATTTCATGATGCTGTAATGAGTAGTATGTGATAGATAGGCCAGAGTGAGTCCTGTATTTGAGATTTCTATAAAATCCTGAGTACTATGACTAAGATGTGAAATCATCAAGTATTTTTTCTTGTATTTTATATGTGAAATGTGGGCATATTGACCTAATTATCTTATGCCACACAAAGATTTCCATTGTGGTCCACTTAGATTATCTTATATAAGGTTGCATCTAAGTCTATTAGAAAGATGAATATTAAATATATTTTACTCAATGAATGTATATAAGTCATGTGATCATAATTTTTCCCTTTTTTTCCTCAGCAATGAAGCTTGGAGATACATGGGTGGCTTTGCAAACAATGTTTCCTTTGTTGGTGCATTATTGAAAGGATTCAAATGGGGATTTGCTGCATTTGTGGTAGCTGTAGGAGCTGAATATTACCTGGACTCCCAGAATAAAGATAAGAAGCATCACTGAAGATAATACCTGGAAGTATATTAGTGGCTTCTTAACGCTCTTATAAAAATAAGATTTCTTCACTGTAGCCTACTTGTCTATTTGTCCCTTAAAGGACACTAGTAAGATTTATTAAAGTAAGAAAACATGTGCTAGTCTGTTTTTGTCATTCTTTAAAAAAAAACGTGTCTCAAACCATATCAGAGTTGGTTTGGAATACATCTGGGGTTGAGCACCAGCAGCAGTGCATTCTGCATATAGCAGACAGCCAGCATATATTTAAACAAACGGATATGTTCTAATAGCGTGGTTTTTTTCCCCAAAATTGTGATAAAATTTACCATCTTAACTGTTTTTAAGTGTACAGTCAGTGGTATTAAATACATTCAGAATGTTGTGCAACCATCACTGCCATCCATCTCCATAAGTCTTCATTTTTTTAAATTGAAAGTCTGTGCCCCTTAAACAGTAACTCCCCTTGACCCCCTCCCCAGCCCCTGGCAACCACCATTCTACTTTCTGTCTCTGTGATTTTGACTGATATGAGTACCTCATGCAAGTGGAATCATACAGAATTTGTCTTTTATGACTGACTTATAAGTGACTTATGTCACTTAGCATTATGCCCTCAAGGTTCATCCATAGTGTAGCATGTGTCAGAATTTCCTTTCTTTTTAAGGCTGAACGATATTCCACTGTATGTGCATACCACATTTTGCGTATCCATTCATCCATCAGTGGACACTTACGTTGCTTCCACATTTTAGCTATTATGACTAATGATGCTGTGAACATGGGTATACTTTAACAGGTTTTTAAATGGGAGTTGGCCTTGCTGCTTTTATCATCCTCTCCAGGTGGCTTAGAGGGACCTGGGTTATACTGTAAAATACTTGCTGCCTAGTTCTGGATGACATGTCCACATTTCAAGCTCATTTTTCTTAAGTGTGAGATTTTCTACTCTAGCCTTAGTCCTCATTGTTCCCATGTTGTGAAAAGTTTGACATTTTTTCTTCTGTTCTAACAAGAAACTAGACATTCTCCCTACATCATTGAATTTTTAAATTTTAATTAGTTAAATCTCTAAAGTTGAGACTTAAAACTCAGCTTGTTGAAGAGGGTTAACATTTTTGCTTGAATACAAAGCTAATATAAAACTCGGGTGATTTTTTTGCTTTGTAAATTTCTTTGTAATATAAACTTGAGAAATGACTAAATAGATGAGACAGAGGAATTCCTACTAAGCTGATGGTAAGTGGAATGTGGTAGAACTAACGCATAAGAAGGGCTACATGGAAAAGAAGCTAAGAAAAGAGTTTAACGAGAAACAAAGCAATAGGATAAATAGCAAAATAGTAGATTGAAACTTAATATCAATAATTAAATGTAAATCGTCCCATATTTAAACTAAAACATCCCAATTAAAAGACAGGTTTTCAGCTTGGGCAAAAAAAGCAAGACCAAACTATAAGCTGTTTACATGAAAACCCCTTTAAAGACATAGGGTAAAAGTAAAAGAATGGAAAAAGATATACTGTGCAAACACTGATGAAAAGAATATTGAAGTGGCTATTTAATATCAGGCAAAATAAAATTTAGAATAAAAAATATCATAAAGAGACATTTCCTAGTAGAGGAGTTAGTTCATTAAGAAGACATAAAAATCTTAAATGTACATACACAGAGCTTCAAAATATATGACGCAAAAGCAAATAGAACTTAAAGGAGAAATAGGTAAATCCACAATAACAGTTGGAGATTTCCACACTCCCCTCTCGGTAATTGACAGAAGATTAGTAAGGCTGTAGAAGACTTCAGTGACATCCCACGAGCTTGATAAAATGTTTCTAGACCACTCTACCCAAAGACAGTGGAGCACTCATTCTTTTCAAGTGCACATGGAACGTTGACCACAACAGGTTATTCTGGGCCAGAAAATTATAAGAGGATTGAAATCACCCAAAGTATATTCTCAGACCACAAAGAAATTAGACTAAAAATAACATCTGAAAAATGCAAAAATATTTGGAAATTGTTTAATACATTTATAGTAAAGAAGAACAATAGTTTTGCTCTCTCATCTTAGAGCTGGTTTTTCTTATCCATCACAATTTTTGCTGGAAGTAAGGAGTGAAGTTTTCCTTACATTTTGTTAATTTGAAAATTTGCCTGAATTCCTTAGGAGCTGCAATGCGTACAAACCACTTGTCATCTTAGCTGTTGCCATTACTTGGACTAGAACCAAGTAAATGTGATATCCGTTCTTAAACTGTACGGCCAAAGTACCATTGGAAATAATGCTAATTACATGTGTACTAGCCTCGTAATAAGCACTGTAGAGGATTATATGTGAAAGTATTATTAGCCCCATTTTGTATGTCAGGCAAGGCCATAGTAAAGTGACAAAGCCTAAGATGGCACAGCTAGTAAGTTCCAGAGTTAGATTTTGAATCTAGGTCTGACTCCACAGCCCACTCTAACCACTATATTGCAGTACCTGTCATGTTTTATGTGATAAGTACCATAAGACACCATAAAATTATCCTTTTGGATCTTTTCTCAGAGCTACTTTGTAATTATGCCTGAAGTAAACAGTAGAGATTTAAAAAAATCTAAAATGTGGCATGTAATATTTCACGGAAAAAGGAAATAATGAATACAGCAATTTTACTGTATACTTGTACTTTGACGGGAACTCAGTTTTGATACACCTAACAGAACAGATTCAGACTTTTTTTGAAAGTATCCTGAGGACTTCAGGGGACAAAGTGGCGAAGAAAATGTATAAGAAGACAAAAACATGGAAAGAACAGGAATTTATCCATACAAATTTGAAAAAAGTGAAAAAGGAAAAGAAGATGTTGCAGGATACCAGCATGATGGAAGCCTACAGATGTGTAGAACGGTACGCAACAGTCATCCACTTGCTGCTTCAATCAAATGCAGACCTTAATGATACTGTGGAAAGGAAGATGCTTCACATTGGGTTTTAAAGGAAATGCACTGTCAGTCTGCATATTAATGTAAATTGGTTTAACTTCAGAGAGGACATTGGCAAAGGCTGCTTAATTAGGGGCTGAATAGAAGTATTCTAATAGAAATAAACTGTGTCTTACCCTTCATTCTTCTCTTTCTCCTCCCTACTACCAATCATATTTGCCATTTTCTTCTTAAAAATTTGGTTATCAGAGAATAGACTCATTTTCTAACATGATGGTCCCCCAAATGAGATACACACAACTCAGGGAATGTGCAACACCATCCATTGGAGTGAAAGAGAAAAATATTTAAACTTATATATATGTGTATTTATTTATTTTCATGTTTATTAAAAATAAATTCAGAGCCAGCCCTGATTGCCTAGTGGTTAGAAGTTCAGGGCTCTCTGCTTCAGTGGCCCTGGTTTGCTTCCTGGGGGTGTCAGTTGCCATGCTGTGATGGTGGCTCACATGGAAGAACCAGAAGGACTTACAACTAGAATATACAACTATGTGCTAGGGCTTTGGGGAGATGTTAGCTCAGGGTGACTCTTTCCCAGCAAAAAAAAATAAATAAACTCAATTTTGCTAATGTTTAATGTACAGATAGGGTTTTCCCTCACTTGGTGGATACTAAGTGGTCTCAGAATTTACGATAATTAAGTTATCCTGAGGGGATGGTGGGAGTTCTGCCCTCCAAAGGGAAGAACAAAGGGACTTTTCAGCAAATTGCTACAGATTGTACTTTATATGTGCTTGGTTCAGTGGAATGTATTATCTGCTAGTTTTAACTAACCTTCATGAAGTAGATAAGTGGCTTTTATTTTTACAAAGAAACTGCTGACTGAAGGTAATACTGATAATGCAAGAACAAGCAAATGAAGAAAATAACAGAGCTATGAACTCTTATTACCAAGAGTTCAAGAGTTTCAAACTCTCCAACCAAGAGTCTACTTTACAATACCAAGTAAATGCAATATATAATCACGAAAAAACTCAACCAAAAAAAGAGATCAAGAAGACTGAAATATGGACTTGGACCCATTGTCAGTACCATGAACCCTGCCCTAAGAGTATATTGATCTGATGTATTAACTAATGATGGCATGTAGCCATGATTAGCAAAATATTTAAAAATATGCTTAATCTTTGTCTTACCTTTAATTTCTTTTCTTCTTTTTAAAAATTTTATTTTTCCTTTTTCTCCCCAAAGCCCCTGGGTACATAGTTGCATATTTTTAGGTGTGGGTCCCTCTAGTTGTGGCATGTGGCATGCCACCTCAGCGTGGCCCAATGAGCAGTGCCATGTCAGTGCCCAGGATCCAAACCAGCAAAACCCTGGGCTGCCCACGCAGAGCACTTGAACTTAACTACTCAGCCACGGGGCCCACCCCATTACTTTTAATTTCTATATTTGTGTATTTTTAATGTACATAGCTGATAATATTTACATATTACATATAAAATGTTAAGATAAAGATTGGGACTTAATGTCATTTCTCCTCACCATATTCAGCTATCATTAAAAAATAGTATTCAAAGAACTCTTCAGATTTTTTAAGTGTTTTTTAAATTTATAGTTTATTATATAAACCCCAGGTAATTTAGCAACAATAATTAAAGGTTATTTCATGATGGCCTCTTACTCAGTTGCAACATGAATTTCAAAATTTGATATAATCATTGTGGGTCCTCAGAATCTCCAGAGTTGCAAGGTATTCAAATTAAATAGCTATGCTAATGAGAGTGGGATCCCCCGGTTGAGTCCTAGTCTACCTCAATATCAGTCTGTGTGTGTTGAGGGGAGGATTTGCTTTTGTTTGGGGTCAGAAAATCAGCTTCAGAAACTCAGAGACTAGAGCACCAATGGAAGTTCATTTACCTGCCAATGATTCTATCAGAAAGGATCTACTGCAAAAGGAGTTTTCTTTTAATTTTATATATTATGTTATATATAAAAATATATACTATATATTTTCCTTTATATAGTATTACATTATATAAGTATTATACATATAATAATTATTCAAAATGAGAACTCAAAGATTAAAATTTTAAATGCCATATATTGTATTAGATTGAATTACCTTTGATACATATACACAATTTAAATCATGGCTTTAGCCATTAAAAAAAAGACAGAATCCTTTGTCTCAAGGTTTGTATATTTTTC